AACAGGCACAAAGAGAGAAAACTTTTCTTAAGGCTCAGATTCATGATTTCGTGGGACACGGATCACAGAATTGTAACTTTTGCCCAACACGGGGCTCAAACCCACAACCCTTAGATTAAGAGTCCCACGCTCTCCCATCTGAGCTACCCAGGAGTGTCACATAGCTCAGACATCCTAGCGCTTTCATTATATTTACAAGGGTGCAAGGAAGCATTACCTGCCTTGAGATGAAGGTGCAGAAGAGAAGGTTCCAGCCCAAAAGAAGGTGTTTTAAATTGCTTTGGGCAGTTTCAGTTTTCAGCACATTCTATCCTTTTGTAATTTGTGTACGTGCTGTTCCTGACATGCTGCTTAATAAAGACATCTGCCTAACGTGTCTGATTGCCGTTCCTTTTTGAAAAAATTGTGCATTATCAGCTTTCCAACAACACTACTTCCTGCCCCCACTTTGCGGCTTCCCTAAAGCCATCAAGTGAGTTTGTGGTAGAGAGAGATGAGATCTGAAGCAGGGATTCTCTGCTTCACAGCTCATACAATGGTACCTCGGGTTAAGAACTTAATTCGTTCCGGAGATCCATTCTTAACCTGAAACTGTTCTTAACCTGAGGTACCACTTTAGCTAATGGGGCCTCTCACTGCCGCCGCACAATTTCTGTTCTCATCCTGAAGCAAAGTTCTTAACCCAAGGTACTATTTCTGGGTTAGCGGAGTCTGTAATCTGAAGCGTCTGTAACCTGAGGTACAGTGGTACCTCGGAATGCGAATGGGATCCGTTCCAGAGCCCCGTTCGCATCCTGAACAGAACGTAAGACGCGATAGTGCGTCTGCGCGGGTCGTGTTTTGCCACTTCCACGCACGCGCGTGACGTCATTTTGACCATCTGCGCATGTGTGAGCAGCGAAACCCAGAAGCAACGGGCTCTGTTACTTCTGGGTCGCTGCGGAGCGCAACCCGAAAATACTTATCCTGAAGTGTATTTGTCCTGAGGTATGACTGTACTTGTAACTGCTGTTCTCCCACCTCTCGATGCTACTTCTACAGCCTACAGAAGTGACAGGACTCTTTCACGTAAAAAGGTAACGGACCCCTGACAGTTAAGTCCAGTCACAAACGGCTCTCGGGTTGTGGCGCTCATCTCACTTTACTGGCCGAGGGAGCCGGCATTTTGTCCGCAGACAGTTTTTCTGGGTCATGTGACCAGCACAACTAAGCCGCTTCTGGCGAAACCAGAGCAGCACACGGAAACGTCGTTTACCTTCCCGCCGGAGTGGTACCTATTTATCTACTTGCACTTTGACGTGCTTTTGAACTGCTAGGTTGGCAGGAGCAGGGACCGAGCAACGGGAGCTCACCCCGTAGTGGGGATTCAAACCACCAACCTTCTGACTGGCAAGCCCTAGGCTCTGTTGTTTAGAGTTTAGACCACAGCGTACAGCGACATTAAAAAGAAAGAAAAGCATCCCCAGACTCCAGTTCTGAAGTGGTACACCCCACTAGGGCACCTCAGGATCCAGCCCTTTATTCTATTGCAGGTGTAGGCAATGCTTATGAGTGTGCGTGCTAGTCTAGCACTGGTTTGCCAGTTCTTTTGCAAATGCAATTCGAGGTGCTCACATTAGTGCTTAAAGCCCTACAGCAGAGCTTTCCAAACTTTCCATGCTGTTGACACACTTTGTAGACACGCATCATTTCGCGACACAGTACAGTGGTACCTCGGGTTACACACGCTTCAGGTTACAGATTCCGCTAACCCAGAAATAGTACCTTGGGTTAAGTACTTTGCTTCAGGATGAGAACAGAAATCGTGCTTTGGCGGCGCAGCAGCAGCAGGAGGCCCCATTAGCTAAAGTGGTGCTTCAGGTTAAGAACAGTTTCAGGTTAAGAACGGACCTCCAGAACGAATTAAGTTCTTAACCCGAGGTACCACTGTAATTCAGTTTTATTAGCAAACTGGAGGTTAAACTAACCCCTTTCCATTCCCCCTACCGGTCAATGCTCTTTGTTGGTTTCATTCAATATTACATCTATTTCATTCATCATCAAAAATATCATAGAGTACAAAAAAGAAAAAATCATGAAAAAACACCCAAAATTAATAAAAGAAGTCAACACCTCCATAACTTTAAATCGTAAATAAATACTTTTCCAGTGTGACTTCCATCTGCCTCACTGCGGGTCCTTTCTTCCTTTTTTAACTGCGTCCTTTTTCACCTTATCAATTATCAGCATTATATACACTATATTATCCATCTGTCATGCAATTTGTGAAAATTAATCGAAGCACACTAAATATTTTATTTGGGAGCAATGTATTTTTAAGTACCCTCCATAGCATCTCCACTCTTTTATAAAAATTTGGCTTGTTTGATTCCTGATTATTTCTGTCATTTTTGCAAGTTCCAGATATTCAGAAAGTTTTATCTGCCATTCTTCTCTCGTTGGAATTTTCTCTCCCTTCCAATTCTTAGCAATCAACATTCTCACTGCTGTTGTTGTGTATAGGAATCCCCTTCTTTTATCACTTGGGATATCTGTTGTCAAAATGCCTAGAAGAAAGGCTTCCGGGTTTTGGGGGGCAAATGTTTTTTAAAACATTTTTTTTAAATTCCTCATAAATGATATTCCTTTTTCATTTTATTTTTGTACACCCCCACCACCAATCCCTTTCCAACCCTGGGAGCGTTCGCACAACACACCTACAGACTCCAGTCGACACACTAACGTGTCGTGACACACAGTTTGGAGAGCTCTGCCCTACAACAACTTAGGCCCCAAATATCCAAAGGAACGTCTCCATCCCTACTGACCAAGCTTCCTGTGTGTAAGATCTTGGTAGGTGAGATTCCTTCGAGGTCAGGTGAAGCCTTCTTCCCCATCTTCCCTTGCAGGGAAGGGGCAGCATTTGGTGGTTCGCCTCAGTTGCCCAAATGTCTTGGACCAGCCCTGCTGCCACCCTCAGAACTGCGGGCGACGGTGGCTCAGGAAAGGGCTTCCTTTGCGGCAGCCACTGAACTATGGATTCCCTCCCTGCCGAGGTCCATCTAACATAGTGAATGCATAGTTCTACTTGGAGTGGCTTTACATGTTTTTACAATTGCAACCATTTTATCTGCTGTTATAATTCTATATTCTACTGTTATAAACTGCCCTGCCCAGAGACCGTATGGCAGGCATGTCCAAAGTCCGTTTCAGGGGCCTAATCCGGTTTAATCCGGCCCCTGTGGCAGTTTGTTTTCTGGGGTAAAATCCTAAAAAAAACCTCAACAACTTATTTTTTTAAAAATCATTTTTATTGATTTTCCAATAAAAAACATCCAATTAATATATCCAATCATAATACTTTATTATTTCAATTGAAGTATTAAAACTTCAACAACTTCAATCCTAAAAAAAGAAAAAGGTCAACAATTTTGGTTGGCCCTTTTGTCGGCCCCCACGGCCCTTCACTACATCAAATCTGGCCCTCTTTGAAAAATGTTTGGACACCACTGCCATATGGTGAAAGGCTGCTAAGAAATCTTACGAGGGAAAAGAAGTACCGTAAGTCTATAATATGCCCCACAATTCCTGATGGTAGAAAATGTGACATCCAGTAGCTCATGGTGATATGCCTAAAAGTGATAAAACAATCATTTAGTGCAATCATACTGGTGGAATTATAAGATGGTAGTAAGGTTGTGCCTGAATCCATTATGCTCCATGTTCCATGTCTCTGATATACAAGAATACGAGTAGGCACGGCTGACGAAGCCCGGTTGGGCGAAACAAGGAATTATCCTGGAATCCTTGTCTTATTTTCTGCATGTGCCATTCTTCCAAGTTCTTCGTCTGAAACCTGCGTACAAGGAACGCTAGAATTCTTGAAATCATCTTTATGTGGAACACTACAAGATTGATATTAGAATTCCACACCGTGGATATTGCTAATATAAGAACTGAATAGATTGTATTTCCTGATCAATCTGCTGGACTTTAACTTCTCATAATACGTTTTGTTTATATGATAAGTTGGTTTATAGAACCATATATCTTGATATGATATGTTGAATCACATTTGAATTTTTTTAGAGAGAGTTACATACAGCCTGTTATGTTTGTGTTGTTGGTAGTTAAAGTACTAGCAACTTGTTTGGAAATCAGGAGGTGGGAAGGAATCGGGTATGATTCACCACTAAACTCACATGTGATTATTGTGGGAAAAGCCAATTAACGTGTCTCGGACTGCAGTATAAGGAAGATTTGGAAGATAACGACAACAAATAATATCTATTTTGTTGGTATTTATGAGATTTCGTAGATTCTTTCCTTATATGTATGGCAGCTTTATATTGTCTGCTGGCAAAGGGACAAGACAGAAGAGAATGTGAGACTGCAACTGTTACCTGTGGTAATGAAACCCACTGATTTATAGAATCATAGACTCTTAAAAGTTGGAAGGGAGCCAAAGGTCATCTAGTCCAACCCGCTGCAATGCGGGAATCAATGGCCCGATTCTCTGATGGCAATATTGTCATATTTGTCTGTATAACAAATCTCTTCAATAATTTAGGTGCTCTTGCGAAGGAATGAATAAATAGTAACACAAGCAAGGTTGGAACAGGGTCTTAGCTGATAGTCGAATTAATACAGGATGGGAAGAGTATTGCAAGTTCCTTTGGGAGAGCACCAGATCAGATCCGGACCCTGGAATCTATTTACCTCGATGTTTATCTCACAAATCTCAGCTATCGGTTGCCTTAGGGAGACCTAACCTTCCCCCCCAGTTGGCAACATCATGCAGGTGGCCCATCCGTCTAAAAATGTGAGGTTCAAGGGCGCAAGTTCACAAGCCGGACTCGGACCTGCAATCTCAGTCATCCGCGGCGGCGATCATTCTGCACATGCTCAGAGGCACGCTGAGCGCCGACCAATTTTAAGACCCCGTCGCTTCGCCTCGGCGAAGTGATCGCCTCCGATCCCAGCTCCACCCGGGGGAGGATCCCAGTCTGATGTCATTTCCCGTGGAGATCTCCCCCCGCTTGCTCCCTCTCCAGCCGGAAAATGAAGCAACACTCCGACTGGATGTTTTTCTCCCGCGCTGGGAGGAGACGGGTCTCTTGAACCCGCCACCCACCCGCAGCTCTTCGGCCCGAATCGCTTCTGCGCCATTCTCCCCAACTTGGATCCGGAGCGCCTCTCCCCGCATTAGCCGCCGGGAGCCCCAGATTATCTACCGGGGGGGGCTCCAGTCGGGGGGGGCGGGGGAATGATGTCCCATGACACGAGCGAGAGGCCCCCCAACCCGGAGCCGCCCCCCGCCACGGTCTACGTCCTCGTGGAAGACCCGCGATCCACGGACGCGCTCCAGCTGCTCAGGTGAGAAGGCGCCCCCCCCCCCGCCGCGCGCTTAGGATCGGGATGAGGATCGGGCGGGGCATCTTCGGCAGGCGCCCCTGGGGAGTCCGAATCGCCTCCCGGATCACTTATCCGTGCAACGGCACTTGTGAATCCCCGTGCAAGAAAGGCCGGCTGCGTTTCCCGCTAGGCTAGCGTTCCAAGGCGCGCGGACGGGACGACTCGTGGGGAAAGGCCCGACGCGTGTTCGCTGTCGCGGTCCAGTTGGCCCCCGACGTGTGAATGGAGCGGCGTGAAAAAAAGAGAACTCTGCTCTTGTGCACAGGGTCAGAAGTGACTCCTGGAGCACTGGCGTTATTGGGAATCGGGGTCTGTGATTTTTTTCTTCTCTCTCTCTCCCCCCACTATAGAAGAGGAAGTGTTGTTTATTGGTTAGGGCTTTTGCAAGTGTCTTGGAGGCAGTGTTAGAAACTGAGATATGAAAGCTAGGAGCTAAATGGCACGTTAAACTTTCTAGGTTGTGGGCGCAACAACAGACTGTCTAGGTGCACTTTTTAAAAACGAGAATACCAAGCTGAAAATGAATGAACTGCCGCTAAAATATTATGTTCATTTTTCATATGGTCTAGTCATTCCCTTGCCCCCCCCAATATATTCTTAAGAGGGTCTCTTCTCCAGTCTTCAGAGAGTAGCTGGAAGTGGGGAGGCAGAAAAAGGTACAGTGGTACCTCGGGTTACAGATGCTTCAGGTTAGGGACTTCGCTAACCCAGAAATAGTACCTCGGGTTAAGAACTTTGCTTCAGGATGAGAACAGAAATTGTGTTCTGGCAGTGCAGCGGCAGCTGGAGGCCCCATTAGCTAAAGTGGTGCTTCAGGTTAAGAACAGTTTCAGGTTAAGTAAGAACCTCCGGAACGAATTAAGTACTTAACCCAAGCTACCTCTGTACTCCTTAACTTCCCCTCTGCAGTTTTAATCTGAAATCTTAGGCGCAGTACTGCGCCCAGAGCTTAGAAACTCCTCGCACTAATGAAATTCCCTGTCACAAAATGCGCCTAGAAAAATGGGAGTTTCGAACCCTGCTTGGAGGCCTATATGCAGTCGATAATACTTTCCTGTTTTCAGTTTAAGACACTTTAGCTGTAGACCAGCTGGGTTTAGGAACTGTGCTACCTTTATTTTATTTCCCTCCTTGCAGTGCACGGCATGTAAAACTGCTTTTCATCTGAGTGTGGGCTCACCTGGGTTAAGCACAGAGAGCTGGTTCTAATGTCAGAAGCCAGGGCCTTAGGAAGAAGAGTGGAAAGGAGGTGTCTCTGAGCATGTGCCAAAAGCATGTCTCTTACCACCTCTCACCCAGCTGAGGCTGGACTTCCATGACCTAGGGTTAACTATATAACCCCAATGAAAATGAAAACAGAAGACCTAGACCAAACCCCTTAAGGGAATAGGAATTCCCCTGCAAAATCCAGGCCTCTCGGGTTTGGAAGAGGGACACAAAAGCTCTGTGTCCTGCCGGCTCCTGGTGTTTTCCCAGCCCCGTGGTTTGAATTTGCAGAAAACCACAAAATTATCTGTGTGTTCGTGGTGTGTGTCTGGGGGGCGGGAGGAGAGAGAAGTAGCTCATTCAGTGACTCATTTTCCTCCTGTTTTGCTGACAGCAGTGCCTCTCTGGGTGCAGTTAGCTCCCAATTCTTCCCTTTTCTGCAAAAACTTTCTGCTGATCTCAACTTTTACCTGCGAACCGATCAGTGCCAGCCTTGGGCTCTCTTGTTGACTGTCGTTCAAATTCCCATTTCTGCTCCGTTCTCCCTGCCCCCAGCCCCCAGGCCACCTGCCTCAGACTCAAGAGCTGGACTTTTGCTGAGATGTGCACTCTTGGCTCACTGGGCTTTGGAAAAACAACAAATGTAGATGATGGACCTTTGAGACGCAAGTCTGACAATGATGTGGGGAACGGGATAGTGGTCTCTGTTGATCAGGGCAGGGATGCAGAACCTCTGGTCCTCAAGAACATAAGAATGCCAAAGCCCTGCTGGATCAGGTGAAGGTCCAATCTAGGCCAGCAGCACTTACAATGCCCAGCCTGGGGAAGAAGCTCAGAAACAGGATTTGAGTGCAACTGCATTTTCCCTCCCTCCAGTAGAGCTAGAATCATAGCTGTCAACCTTCCCTTTTTTTTGCGGGAAATTCCATTATTCCAGCGCTGTTTCCAGCTGCTATCCCAGATTGTTAGATATCCCATAGACTGTCCCCGGGACAGGTGAGGCTGCTGATTGCTTATTTTTGAGGCTGCTGGTCCCTTATTTTCAAATCTGAAAGTTGACAGCTATGGCTAGAATATAGCCATCAGGGTTAAAAGACACTTGTATTGCTCGACTACAGCTTCCATTGACTACATCCCAGACCATTGGCCAGGTGGGAAGACAAATTCTGGGGCTACCTTTGGATAAACCTAAGTAGTTTACCCACATTATGCCTGAAATATGTCTGGGGAGGTGATTGGGGAAACTGTGGACTTAAGAGTAGATACATTTGTGGCTTGTAAGGTATGGGCAGTTGGATGTTGACTTGCGAGACTTGGGTTCAGGTCTTACCTTTCTCACAGACTTTGGTTGCAATCCTAACCCCATTCATTTGGAATAAAGCCCCATTTGATTCAGTAGGATTTGCTTCTGAGTAGACATGGTTAGGGTTGGGCAGGGGTGAAACCAGGCTTTATTTCACCCGGGTCAAAGACCCAGTTTGGCATCTCTGTATGCACACAAATAGACTGGGAGCCTCAACAGCGCCCCTCTGGACAAAGAAAGCTCCCCCCCCCCATAGATACAGCTCTGGATTGGGCTTAGTGAGTCATTCTCTCAGATCCAGTTTGTCCCATTTGCAAAACAGGGATAATACTATATTATTTTAATGTATTGTCATTCCTTCTAATAGGCACTCAACCACTAAGTTCACTATCAACTGGAAGTGAAACAGAGCCACACAAAAGAAGCTAGTAGCTTCTAAGTACTCCCTAGGTGAGATGTGGGGAACCTTTCCCCCTTCAGATGTTGCTGAACTACAACTCTCATCAGCCCCAACCAGTATGGCTGATGACCAGGGATGTTGGGAGTTGTAGTTCAGCAATATCTAGTGGCTCAAAGGTTCCCTACACCTGCCCTAGGTATACAAAAGTATATAAATTTGTAAATTTAAACCATAACACCCCTCAAAATGACCTGACAAGGACTTGTGAGTTTCCAGGATGTATAAAATGTTGAGGTACCGGTTGTGGAGATGAGGGAAAGATTGGATCTTGGGAGGGGAGAGAAAAAGGGGAATTAAATCATATCCCTTAGAGTAAGCTTCAGAAGCGGGAATCAGGGTTGTGGGGTGATGTGAAATTTAAACTCCTTGCCTGTATTATAGAGTGATATTACAGGAGGAAGGATTGGGTGGGGGAGAGGGAATTCTTTCCCACTCCTCAAAACACCTCCCCTATATACTATAACTGCCGGACCAAACTGCAGGAGGCAGTGGAAGACAGGAGTGCCTGGCGTGCTCTGGTCCAGGGGGTCACGAAGAGTCGGACACGACTAAACAACAACAAATATAACTATAAAATGCTGATGTTAGAACTATAGTAAGCTTCCTTAATCTGAGTCAGACCATTGTTCTCTCTGTCCCAGTATTGGCAACACTGTCTGGCAGCAGTCTTGAGGGTGTCAGACAGGGGTCTTTTCCAGCCATACCTGGAGATGCTGGCAAAAGCACCTGGGGTCTTTTGGATGCAGAGCCAGTTCTCTTCTGCTGAGGGTAGCTATGTAGCACAGCAGGAGGCGGCTTGTGGGGTGGTCGAGCAAAGGTATCTGCTTCCCTCCTGCCCATGGGGCTTCTGTTCCTTCCAGGCTGGCTGGAGTCGTCCCCTTAGGAGAGGAAGCCACACTGCAACATTTTGTTGCAGGCCCCCCTTGTCTTATTTCAGCCACATGGCGCACTGGGTGATGCTCTTTCTCAAATGCAAAAGAAAATGTTTCAGCACACAAGTCATTTTGAAGAATCCTGCGAATTGCGATGTTAAAAATTAAGTGTCTTAAAAGTTTCAATTTCAGGCGCAGCAAAATCTCAGTTTTTGTTCCTTCTGCTTTGCAAGTTTTGTCGCTGGTTCCTTCTGGTCCAGCGCTGGTGCCTGGACATGTTGAGCTGATACAGTTGCCAAGCCAACTAGCCTCTTTTGCAACATCGTTGAGCGAATGTGTTTGTTTTTTTATCAGTTTGAGCTTTGAGAAACCGTGTTCAAAATACAAAATAAAATACTGTATTATGATAAATTTACAAGACATAACAGATACTAATCTGTTTAAAATCTTGCCTCCGGTACCTTCCTTCCCATGCCTGCAACTCGTTTCTCTGCTCAGGGCGCGGCGGCAACGCAGCAAACGAAGAAGACCTATAGTAACCATATTGAAGAATCCAGGCGCGGTCCCTTTAAGCAGTCCCGTCCCTTCCCCCCCCCACCGCTGAAGGAAAGGGCGGGGGCCCCTTGGGGGATTGGAATGAAGCCTCCCTGCCGCCCCCTGGCGGCCAGCGGGGCGCATTGCCGAGCCGCTTGCGCTCCCGGGCTCGCTATTAATAGCTTCCAAACAAGGGCGCGTTTGCGGATGCGCAACACGGATTGCGTTTGCTCGTGTGGATTGGGGGAGAGATAAAGGGAGATCGCGGGTGGGGAAGGGGCTCCCTTCGCGGGAAAGCAGCCGGGGCTTCTGGTGGAGAAGGCGCTGCGCGTGTGCGTGCAAGACACACACACACCCAGGGCGGGCTCTGCGTTTGCGCTCCCCTCCTCCCCACGCAGCCAGGGATGCCGGGTTAAAATGCTTCTCCAAAATGGCCCGCACCAGGAAATGCAGCCGCCGCCGCCGCCAGCCCTGGGCAGAGGCCTAAAGTGGGGCAGGGAAGCGAAGGATCGCGGCGCCGGCGGGGAGCTGGTGGAGGAGCAGCCCGCGGCCAGCTGGGGAAAAGACGCCGGCAAGGGAGGAGGAG